CTGTCGACGTCGGGGGAGGACGGTCCGAACGAACGAAACGAACAACGGCGAAGATGTGCTTCGTGTTCGTGACCGTGGTGAAATGCCCAGGTCTCAAAAAGGCAGCGCGCGAGTTCAAAGGGCTGAACTGGAGCAGGCGAAACGGCGCCGTCGGATTGAATTCCCTTTGCTCACCCCCCTGCCCGCTGACCCCTTTGTGAACAATGGCCAAAAAGGAGGATCACGCCCCATCAGCGCCGCTGCGGGTCGGTCCCAGGCTGAGACCCCACTGGTCAGCAGCAGGGATCCGTTGGGTGGAAGGCTGCGGCTGGCCAATACGGGCCTGCAGACGGGGTCTTCCCTTCCTGGCCGGCACAAGAAGCCGCTGTGCACGAAAAGGAGCATCTGAAAGGATCAGATGCACCGCGGTCCGTTTCTGCTGTTTGCCGGGCTCTCTCCTTGAAGAGCCAAGTAAGAAATTTTCAAGACATTTGACCTGTCGTCGAAGGGGCAATAACAACACACAGTTGAAGGCTGACCCGCCAAGACCAGGGATCAGCAATCATGGATGACAATTAAAGGTTCGGGATGCACGAACGATACGGAGTACAGAACACGGAGGAGATGATGACCGTGCCCTGAGCGAGGATCATCTCGGCACCCAGGCCCAAGGTAACATGTGTTGATTCAACCTAGGACTCAACACCACAGCGTAATACGCAAAACCATGGCAAGGCATGTCATGCCATGTCGGTGAAGTAAGCTTTACTTAACCCGTACTCGCTGCTATCTAAACCTTGAACGAAAAGCCAAAACCATATAAAGCACCCTGGTCCAACGTGCATACTCCGCGCTACCTTCCTTGCCCTTGAGAATCATCAACGCCGTTCGCTATGCACCATAAATGACATGCCACGAGAGCCAGTCCCAAATGTCCCTGTCCACCATTCGCCGCTAGGCTGCGGTCGTCTAAACCTCCGGGAGTTGTTCAAGACGTGGGTGCGGCCGGAAGAACTCCGTCGCCTGCCTCACACAAACCGTGTCCGCCGTTGCCTGTCCCTGATCGCCGGCCACCTGATTCCCTTCCCTCACACAATCCTCGCCCGCCATGACCGGTTCCGAATCGCCGACGTTAGGAGACCCTGAAATACCGAGGCGGGGAGTTGTTGACACTGGTGTTCCTGGCAACGGAAGGGCGTCTTCAATGTCCACTAGAATGCCAGAATCTGTCAAAGCGCCTTCTTGTAGCGAAACCGTGCTCGAGTCGTCATCGGCAGGCGGAGATGCAGGGACCGCATCGGGGCTGGCGGTATCCTGGGCGGCACATTCAGCCTCGACGGGCTGGTCCAACCTTCCAGTCGGGGCAGGGTTGGGGTCGACACAGTCGTAGAACAGCATGAACACGCCGCCCTGAGCGAGGACCGTCTGCTCATCCACCCGAGTCACATTCTCGTCGCTGAGCCGCCACCACTGAGACTGATGCTCATCCGGACACGGTGTCGATTCGTTGGTTGTGTTTGCTGGTTGCGTCTCGTGGTCCAACTCCATGCTGCCGTCGGTTGTGTCGTCCTGCAGCTCGGGGTCCGACGCCGCCTCCGACCCGTCGTGTTTGAGCGGGGTCGGAGGCGAAGAGACGGGATGTTTTCGGTAACAGATGTAGTGCCCGTTCTCGTGGTGCCCATAGTGTGTGACAACAGCGCGCAGCTCGTAGAGCGGTCCCGTGAGGCGAGATGGCGCGTGATCTCCAGCGACCATGGATGCCTTGGGATCCAGCGTCCACTGTTCTACCTCCTGGGCAGCCACTTCGCCCCCTTGCAGACCCGCCGCGCCAAACGCGCTACCCAAGCACCAAGGTCCCAGGTCGAAGACCATAGGAAACCGGACAGCCGCGGAGTTCTTGAACATGTAGCCCGTGGTTTCGTCGAAGCCGGACCGGTTGACGTGAAACACCAAGCTCTGCGGGGCACGGGCAAGCGCAACCTGTTTCGTTTTTGTCGAGCTGGCCCTCATCTTTGCCGTGATGTTGCATTTTTTGGTCAGCGTCTCTTCGTCAAACGCCTCGTCTTCCAGTGCTTCGTCCAGGATTTGCAACCTCGAGCGGAACGGCGACGAGTCTCCGGTGCGCTCGACGAGCGTCTTGACCAGCTCTCGGCACATGATCAAGGAGCACTTAGGACACTCGACGCCCTCGATTGGCTCGACCTTGGTGTAGTGGTCCATGCGCTCATACAAATCGTGCTCCGGAAGGTTGCCGAGCGTCAGCGTCAAGCAGTTGAAGGGGATCATGGTCAAGCCTTCGCAGTAGCCGCAGTTGACGCAGGCCACGCGCTGGGCCATCAGGCCTTCAAGGGGGTTCCGGACATGACGGGGCATCGGCTCCGGCTTGGGACGACCAGAGGAGATACTATGGTATCCGCTGTCATTGCTGTGCTGACTGGTCGAGGACTCATCGTCGGTATTGTCGGGTTCGAGCCCTGGCGCATCTTGCAGGGCACGGGCGGCCTTGGCAATCTCATTGTCGATCTGGTCCAGGAGCTTCGAGTAGTACTCCTGCGCGTCTTGCTGTTGCCATGTGCTCATGTTCTTCAATACCGGCGGCGTCCAGAGCGTCTGACCATTGCTGGAGGGGCCGCTGAGCTTAGCGAGCAAATCACCGAGTGTGACCACGGTCCGAGTCGGAGACAAGTCCAATCTCTTCTCGAGCGAAATGGCAGACAAATATGTAGGAAGCGTCTTGAGAGATGCCAGGCCCTGGAGGATACTGTTCTGGTAACAGGAATTGTCATAGTTGCCCAAGCCAGGGGGCGAGTCTCCTGCAGTCCTGCCTCCTATGGCAGCACTGGACAGGCTGCTGAAGCCTTTGCGCCCAGCCTGAGAAACAGAGCCAAGTATCCCTCCCCCATTGTCGAGGCCGAGAATCCTCCTTAGGGCATCATTTTTGGCGGCACGGGTCGGCTGAACCTTGCGCATGGGGGTTGGAAAGAGCGGTGGATTGACGATGCGGTCAATGGCGAAGAGCAGGCGAGCTGGAATCACCGAGAGAGACGCGTCCCAAAGAAGCTGTGGGAGCGAAGGGAGCCGGCCGTGACCGCGTGCCGCAGCCTGGTACACTATGCTGAACGCGAGCAGCACGGCCGTGATGATGATGCTCGGGCTGCTAAACCGGCTCCGTAGAGGCCCCTCGGTGTAGTACTGGTACAGCTGAGGACTGTCGCGGGTGTCGAGCTGGCTCAGAATGCGTCGGGCGTCGGAGTTCATTCTGGAGCGGAAGATGGCAGTGGAAGCGAGGGACACCAGGTCAAGCGAACCTGGCCGACGGAGAAAGAAGCAACAAGAGCGTGTGTTACGGAGCCGACAGGGTGGCAAGCTGCAAGGGATACATGTCCGTTATGTGGTGAGCTGGCCCGGTCATAACGGAGAGAAAATGACGAGAGCAGAGCAGATGTGTGTTTTCGAAGCTGCGAATGTGCAGAGGCAACAGGGTTCGTGGAAACTTTTCAGAGATGCAGGCGAAACCGTGCTTGTTGGAGAGGCAGCTTCGTCCCAGGCTGCGCGCCCCAGCACAGAAACAGCCTGGCTTCTGGTCGGCTGACGCAGGCCATTGGTCGCCTTGAGCGGCAGCAGCGGGGCACGTGTGGGGTGTCACTCCTCCCCCTTGCAGGTGGGCTGGTGGGGCCCCAAAACCCCACCCCAAAAAACGGCAGCAACACCTAAAAATTCCTAGCGATAAGAAATTCTGAGGCTCAGGCCCCCGCGATATCGCCGTGATAACGGCAGACACAAATCCAAGATGGCCAAACCGACCATCGCCAAGGGGAAGAAAGGTGTGCTATCCAGCGTTCCCATACCCCTTGCCATTGCTCAGCTCAGAACCTAACTTGTTGGTCCCGCAGGCGCCTCGAAACACTCCCGCGCAGCCAGGCGTGCGACCTCCCCCAGCATCGACACGGACAAGTCCCTGAAAGAGGTCCGCGTCCCGCAAGAGTCGGTCGACCGGCGGCCCGCTGTGCTCGCTGCGCATCATGCAGGCGGCGTGACCAAGAAGGCCAAGTCCGGCCGGAAAGCAGTGCTGAGCACCAAGGCGCGGAGGCGGCAGGAGAAGAGCGCCGACCGCGCCGAGGCCATCATGGACCGGACCTCTGTCAAGGTGCAGAAGAGCAAGGGCCACGCCAGGGTCATCGACTCTCGAAAGAAGACCTGGGACCAGATCAACAAGGAAGCGTTTGACCGCGAGGAACCTCCCAAGCTCAGCAAGAAGGCAAAGGCAAAGCTGACGCAGACGACGCGGCGGCCGAGAGCGGGGGCGGCGAAGGGACGTGGGCTGCGGGGGGGGAAGCACAAGACGCTGGCGAAGAAGAGGAGGTTCTGTAGGGCTGGTCGGCAGTTGATGGTTTTTATCTATGCCAGATGAACTGTCGCTGGCCGGCTTTAAGCGGGACTCCGCGCACAGGACTTGAGGCACTACTTTAGTGCTTGCACGACTCCAATTGCTGCAGTTGTGGCGATGGCCAAAGGTACCTCTCGACACCCAAAACAGGACCGCATCGCAGAGAAAAGAAACCGAATTTTGGCGCCGGCAGCTTAAGGGGTATGAGGGGCGCCCGATACCCGGCCAAGGTACGCCATACTTTGAGCTCCCGGAAAGGAACAAGGCAATTCACAAAGGGGAAGGAGGAGGAGGAGGATTTTCAAGGTGACCAAGCAAGTGGCAGCGGCCGCTGTCTTACCACTGCCGGTGAGTTCATCTTAACGCCACCAAAACTGCACACCGCAACATAGAACAGGACATATACAGATGCATATGTCACTAAATGTCACGCCGAAACGACTTGATAGTTTTGTGCATTGATTCATCGCAAGCCTCCCTTTTACGATGCCCTTCAAACTCGCCCATGATACGGGTCTGGGGGGTCGATGTTCACACATTGGCATGTAATTCTTGAAGTCGAAAATGTTTTCGGTCAATTGGCCAGAGCAAACTCCCCTAATATATTGGTTGAGTGCTAGAAACCTTTCAACAAGCGGGTTTAGCTCAGTTGGGAGAGCGTCAGACTGAAGTTCAAACTTCGGTAATTGAAATCTGAAGGTCATGTGTTCGATCCACATAAACCGCACGTTATTCTTTTGCTCCTTTGCTCCCAATGAAAGGGACCGCGCCTCCTGTTTTGCGCTTTGAACGCTCACTTCCCCAGTCGAACCGGATCCTTGTCTCTCCCTCGCCTGCTGTTTGCGAACCAAAGCTGCAAGCCACCTTGTGTCTCGTGCATGTTTTTTTGTACGAGGTTCGTTCCCCCGAGTCACCCCCTCGAGTGCGCTCAGATCGAGACGATTCGAGCCTTACCGTGTGTTTTGTCGATTAAAATACGCCATCGACTCCAGGCTTGATGCAGGCTTGATTTATGAGCACCTCGAGGGTCATCCTTCCGGGCGACCAGACCGAAACGGGATGGACAAAGCAGAGTCGCAATCAGTTTCGGCCGACCACGAGCAAAGCTCTCTTCGTTGAAGCGCACAGCTTCACAAGAACCGAATAGCACCTCAGATCTCAAAAAGCCCAAGCTTTCGCATAACGGGTCAACAAACCCAGATGTCCAACAGCAGGCTAGTCAACGGAGGATCCCTTTTCCAGAAAAGGTATACCTTGTATGTTGAAACACAAGGAAGCTATCTGACTGTCCTCAAGCCAGCAGTTTTGGAAGAACGCAATGGCGAGATCAAATTTCGAGTTGTCAACAACGATGGCGAGAGAGAGAGCATGATCATTCTTACGGGCCTCAAATGCCTATTTCAGAAGCAGCTTCCGAAAATGCCCAAGGATTACATCGCACGGCTTGTCTACGATCGTACTCATTTGTCTATCGCCATCGTCAAAACACCTCTGGAGGTCATCGGCGGAATAACATATCGAGAGTTCCGAGACCACAAGTTTGCTGAAATCTTCTTCTGCGCGGTCTCGTCTGATCAGCAGGTCAAAGGATACGGAGCGCATCTGATGGCTCATCTGAAGGACTACATCAAAGCCACCGGCCCAGTGATGCACTTTCTCACCTATGCCGACAACTACGCGACTGGATATTTCCAAAAACAGGGCTTCACCAAGGAAGTTACTCTTGAGAAATCCCTATGGATGGGGTACATCAAGGATTATGAAGGAGGAACACTGATGCTATGCTCCATGCTTCCTCGGATCCGCTATCTCGAGGCTGGTCGCATGCTTCTCAAGCAGAAGGAAACTGTGCTCGCAAAGATTCGTACCCTGAGCAAGAGCCACGTCACTCATCAACCCCCTTCACAGTGGCCAACGGTACAGTCACTCCAATTGATCCGCTGTCCATCCCTGCCATTCGGGCAACAGGCTGGTCTCCAGATATGGATGCGCTGGCACGGGTGCCACGCCATGGGCCTCATTTCAACGAACCCCGCCGTTTTCCGTACCAGATCCAGAACCACAAGCAAGCATGGCCCTTCCTTAATCCGGTCAATAAGGACGAGGTGCCGGACTACTACAACGTCATCACTTCGCCAATGGATCTGTCGACCATGGAAGAAAAGTTGGAGCGCGATCTTTATGCCACGCCGAGAGAACTTGTCACGGATCTCAAGCTGATTTTCAGTAACTGTCGCCAGTATAATGACGCAACAACGGTATACTCCAAGTGTGCTGCCAAGCTGGAAAAGTACATGTGGACGCTCATCAAGGAGGTTCCTGAATGGTATGACTTGCTTGAGGATGATTGAATTCCCTCGATCAGGTGTTCTGGTAGATCATCGCGGGGCTGGCTAGGGGCTGTGGGCCAAGGATACTGTGATGTTTTGTGAAAATGATGGCGGCCTGATGTGAAGCTTGAGGGAGACTGATTAGCAGGTAAGATGGTGGTTCAAAGCCACTAATTTGTGGGCAGCGTTCTGCTTGTGTCTCTCTCTATCTTTTCTCTCTCTCCCCCCCTCCCTCTCTCTCTCTCTCCTTTTTTTTTCGCTTTCCTCTTTCTCCCTTCCTTCCCTCTCCCTCTCTCCCTTCTTAGGAGCTGGACTCTGGCAAGTTGCATCCACAGAGCATGTTTTGTGGATGCTGCTGTACTGTACCGATATGTATTCCCTGCTTCGCCGCTTCGTTTTCATACCTATGTCCTCTTGAGTATCCCGGATTCCGTTTTCCTCTCCCAGCCATCTCGCCTGTTCTTGGTGTTGTTCGGTATTAATATGATTTAAAATCAATATAGGGGGACCGACCGCCCGGTCCTCGCAGAGACTGAGTTAGTGACAGCTGTGTGACTTGCCCTGGCACATACCGACCAGAATGCGGTGGTTTTGGTGGACTCCGCGTTTGATTGGGGCAAGTATAACTCGGCTTACTCTTTTGTTCGATAAGAACCAAGTAAGGTACGATACAGTACATAGCGACATTGAATCGCCTTTCTACGGGATTGATTAGGAATCTGTTAGCCCCGATGGAGGCTGCCCCTTCAAGTGCAACACGTTCGAGGAGAGTCCAGTGTCTTGTCTTGCCGAGGACCTAGGTCGCAGGCATGACGCCGCTGATCGAGTTAGATGAGCCGTGGTTCGGTCAAGACAGTTTTTCTGTATTTGAACCTGCGTATCGCCATCAAACTCGCTTTTCCACAAAGCACCTGTGATCTAATCCATCTTAATGCCGGGTCGCTGCCATGTTATTTTGGAGGTTCAGACAGAATGCCCAGATGGGATTTGATTATTTGAAAAGGTGGGCTGCGGGCATCTCATAGGGAGCATAGCTGAGGAAAAGATACGAATGGCGGACGCGACAGCAGAACAATCCGCAACGTCAACATCACCACCTCATCAAAACAATGACAAAAACTTACAAATGGCTCCTAGCTCCTACCATTTCTCACTCCGGCAATCGATGAAATGATCAACGCCCCGCTCTCAACCCGTCTTACACCCATACAAAAGCCGGCGTTGATCAATGGTTTAAACACGGGTTATGACGTAGATCATGACAACCAGGCGACACGAAATAGCTGTCTCTGCACGTCCCTGGTCCCCCAATGACAATCCAAAACGCCAAGTTGACGACGTTTGATACACTACATCATCAGGATTGCATATCACACACAAAACCCCGCAAAAATTCCCATCCTGTATGCTCCATTCCTTTTTCCAACTTTCTTGCCTCTCTGCCTGAAACCACACTTTTACCGTTTTCAATGGATCGCGAAGGACCACCATGGAGTTTTATCACAAACACACAAGACACGACAGGACAATCGTGTGATGGTTTGCCGTACCTTGGACTCGGCCTTCAACTATAATCCCAAGCACACCAGATATGATCGGTACCGGAGCGCCGTGGAATGTTTTTCTTTTTATTCGAATGATTCGACCTAAGAGCTACCACTAGCGACTGAGCAAGAACCGGGGTTTGGGTATGGCCAAGTCGGGGATAGAACATCATGTTTTTGAACGCCATCGTCGAGGTGGCGTCTTCCTCCCAGCAGCGCGAAAACCGACCAAGGGATCAAACAGTCGAATCCGGGCAACATCATGTAGGTGCCAACATCAAAGCGATGGGCAAAACAGGCTCGCCACTAAGGCGTGAGTGAGCCTCTTGTTTCTCGAGTCCGCCAAAGTGCGAGCCGCCAGACATCATCAACCCCCGCCAAACGCCGACTGGGCGGGGCTGAACATCGGGTCGGGCATGGGGTTAAAGTTCATGTCGGGTTCCCTCTTCAAGGCGGGAGAAAGAAGAGGGAACGTGGCGTCCGTTGGCGAGGGATACAACGGCTCGGACACTAGGGCCGGCGCGTTAGGTATGATCCCAACATTTTCGAGGAAGTCGGGCTCACCGTGAGAAAAGGCAATGCTCCCTTGTCGCTCACCCGATCCCAGTCCCTCGAACCCCACGCCCTGCAGAGCCGAGTACGTCGACGCGATGCTCGCGTTCCGGCTCCGCGGCGACCCCGTCGAGATCGCATCTTGGGGGGCCGGAGCAAACGCCAGGAACGGCTGGCCGAACAGCTCATTATTCGTCTGAACGAACCTCCTCGCCTCGTTGTTGAGCCAACGGTCAATATTGGCATCGTTGCACTTGGCATGGGCCATCAAGCGATGTTTCAGGGTGCTGATCTCAGCGATCAAGGCGTTGGCCTCCATTTGCAACTGCGTGTGCTGCGCTTCGAGCTCGATTTTCGTTTCCTCCAGCTCCGAGACGTACTGCTTCTTCTTTTCCCGACACTTGCTGGCTGCGATGCGATTTCGCTCCAGAAACTTGCGCCGCCGTCGATCCTCCTCGACCGTGTTCGATTGCCTCTTCGTCCTTCTGACTTTCCGTTTCTTGGGCGGCTCCGTCTCCGGAGGCGTGATGTCTGTCGTCGATATACTGCCGGATTTGGAGGTCCGGCGCGATGGCGACTTGGTGCTCGAGGGTCTGCGGGTGGACGGCTGAGACATGCCTAGCGGGACGACCTGGATCTGTGGCTTCGTGTCCTCGTCCCCGCTATCCGGGCTATACAGCTCGGGGTCGACGAAGAGCTGGGCCTGGTCCGCCGTGGTCATGGGTTCAACCTGTCCGCTCAAGCCATCCCACACATCGGCTCTTGGTACTGCGTCTCTCGGGTCTGCGAGGGTCTGGCCGCCGAACTCTTGTTTGACGTTGTAAGGGCTGAAGGGATTGATGTGAATGGGACCATCCTCCTCCTGCTGCTGTGGGCTTTGGTAGGGATCGGGGTCGTCAAAGGCCAGATAGTCTAAAAAGCGAGCTGATGAGGAGTCCATCTTGCTGCTCTGCACGCCGCTCACTCTGACTGCTCGCTGATGCTGGGGTTGGAGATGTGAAACGAATCGTCTGCCCGACGTGAGGGGGACGCTCGTTGAGGAGCCTGGGTGCGGCAGGCTGGGGCCAGGAAGGGACAGCTGGGATGGGCCCCGGAACCGTGCTCCGGCCTCGTCAAGTAGGAAGGACCGAGGACACGGGTGTAGCAACTGCCTCGACCGCCTATCCTTCCTGCTTTAGGAATCAGCTCGACCGTTCGGCGCGAGGTTCGTCGGTGCGCGGAAGGAACGCATTCAATGTCGTCTCAGGGGCGATGGCGTGTGGGATGTCGTCCGTTCCCAGGCTGCTGGACGTACCTCGTTC